ATAATAATAATAATTAATAATTCGAGGTTTTTATATACCGCTTTATCACAACCTAGTTCGTAGGTCGTCTCAAAGCGGTTCACAAATTATCAAATTTTATCTGTTCGAAGTACATGTTGTTGAAATCAACGACGAATACTTATAATTTGAGTAATTTGTCTTAAGATGCCTGTAACATAATCCCTGTATCATACAGCATCTTATAAGGTCCTATTCATGTAAATTTCACATTTTTTTTTTAAACGTGGTCAATTAACTCATTTTATTTTTCTTACCTATGACGAGTTTTTACTTGACAGCTAGCAACTTGATCAAACTTACAATTATGACACAATTTACCAGCGAATTAACACACCAGACAATTTAATACTCTGTCAATTACCCAAGATTTTAATACTCCGTGAATTAACACTGAATCTTTAACACAGAATTAAATACTCCGTGAAAATACACCAAACAATTTAATACTCGTTAAATTAACATAGAATTAAATACTCCGTGAAAATACACCAAACAATTTAATACTCGTTAAATTAACATAGAATTTAAAACTCGGTAAATGACACATCATACCATATAATACGACGTTGAATTAACATGAGATCATTCAATACTCCTTCAATTACACATACGATTATTTAAAATCACTTGGCTTGGACGTGATATCAATATTTTTTTAAGAATGATCACATTGTTTGTTTGGTGTTTGTCGTGAGAACATTTTTCTCATCGCGCTCATATGGATAAAATTGCGAGGCCACCGTGCACCTTCCATCCGACTTCTAGACCTTCTCATCATCGAGATCCACGGTCGGTGACGAATGTTAACAAATACAAGTTTACGCGGAGGAATACCATGAACCTTAAATTACGTAGAAAGTATTTTTAAAAGCAATACTCTTGTCATTGGCTTCTCAATACGAATTTTAACGCTTAAAATGGTGTTGTTAATCTCACTTTTTTCATAATATTATAATGATTTGTTTATGACAGATATACACTTTATGGATAGTTCCGGTTCATGACGTTTACTAGCGCGAGCAAACTTTCTCTTTTGAGAAAATTCATTCCCGAAACGGAAAATCTGATTTCAAGTCGACTTCTCAACTTCTTCTCAAGTATTCTCATACTGACAACCCGTGATAATGAACTTACCATGCTAATGGTAGGTGGTATAAGGTAGTATATAGATGATAATGAACTTACCATGATAATGGTAGGTGGTATAAGGTAGTATATAGATAATAATGAACTTACCATGCTAATGGTAGGTGGTATAAGGTAGTATATAGATGATACTGAACTTACCATGCTTATAGTAGGTGGTATAAGATACAGTAGTATATAGATGATACTGAACTTACCATGCTAATGGTAGGTGGTATAAGGTACAGTAGTATATAGATGCTAATGGAAGGTGGTATAATGTAGTATATAGATGCTAATGGAAGGTGGTATAAGGTAGTATATAGATGCTAATGGAAGGTTGTATAAGGTAGTATATAGATGCTAATGGTAGGTGGTATACGGTAGTATATAGATGCTAATGGAAGGTGGTATAATGTAGTATATAGATGTTAATGAAAGGTGGTATAAGGTAGTATATAGATGCTAATGGTAGGTGGTATAAGGTAGTAAATAGATGCTAATGGTAGGTGGTATAAGGTATTATATAGATGAAAATACTAAGGTTGAACCACACACCATTTATCAATATCAATCGATCTTATACCTCGTGGATTAAACATCCTGATTTAAAAAAATAACATCATCATTGAATACTCAATGGAAAAGCATATCAGATCATTTAGTACTCCTTTGATTAATATTGATATCAGGAACCAACTTAAGGTTCCATCCTCTTTAGTTCCCTACATGTCGTATAAATCCCACCCCTTTAGTTCCCTCCATGTCATATAAGTCCCACCCTCTTTAGTTCCCTCTATTTCGTATAAGTACCATCCTCTTTAGTTCCCTCCATGTCATATTAGTCCCACCCTCTTAAGTTTCCACCAT